GCTGTCTTATTTGCCATGCCTAACATCTAACTTGTACTAACAGGTTATTTAAATTGTTAAATAATGTTTGATTTGTTAGGCGCATAATATTATTTGTTATTTCCATATCATTGTTAAATGAGTCCATTATATATCTTGTTCAATTAACTAAAAAAAAGGATATTTTGATTATTTTGATTTAAAATTTAATTTTAATTCACATCTAAAATCTTTCAGTGATATTTCATATTATTGTAAGCATGATTAGTGAAAAAGTCATTTTGGTGGTCTTGTAACAGAATTTTTCCGTAGTTTTTTTGTTACTTTTTTAATTAAAAAAATAAAATTGCAATGTATCTCCTTGACCAAACACAATTAAAAAAAAAAAACCTCTAAAAGTCACTGCAAACTGGCACACTAGAGGGCTAAACTAAAATTAAAATTTTGTCAAGGAAAAAAAACAAAATTAACCCTCTTTAATTTTTTGTTTAAAAAACCTAATTCAATTTCACATAAAACACGACAATTGTTTATTTTTCCTTATATCAATTATTTATTTTCCTTACAATAATTATTCATTTTTCCTACATGACTTGTTTATATATGCACCTAACTTCACTTGTTTTTATTTGTAGAAATGTTATATTGTTAATGACACTTGCAAATTTTACCTGCATCAATTATTTATTTTTTATATGAGTTGTTTATATGCTTAATTTCACTTGTTTTTATTCATAGTAATATTATGCTATTGATGAAAGCTATAAATTCCTTTCACGTTAATTGTTCATTTGTCATATATCAATTACTCATTTTCTATAAACAAGTTGTTCATGCATCTAGTTTAATTTGTTTATATTCATAGTAGTATTATCTTATTCATGAAAGTTGTAAATTTTTCCTATATTAGTTGTTTATTTTCTATACAAACATTGTTCAAGTTCCTCACATAAGTTGCTTCTTAGTGATAGAAGGAAATAGGGTTATTTATGTCATTTCTCTTAAAAATTTAATTTTAATTTAGCTCAAATGGGACTCACAAAGACTGATGCTTGAGTATTTTATGGAATTGACTTTAAATAAATTTAGTTAGGGAGGCAGTGTTTTGTGAGGTTAAGAAATAAATTTAAAGAAAAAACTACCTCAAGGTCCCACATAAGAAAATTTATTATCAAGAGATCTCATAAAATTCACAAACTACTTCTAAATCTCAAATTTTGCACATTTACAATTTGACTTGAGGCATTAACAATTGGATAATAGTCATTTATAATGTATTATTACAAGTCATCATTTTCCTTTATAAGTAAAATAATTAAATTTTAAAACATTTCCTGTGTGCTTTGAAGGAGCAAAAAAAAAAAAAAAAAAGGGAAAGAGGATGACTGTATTCGAAGTGAAACATTGAAAAATGGCAAGGCCGTTTGACTAATTAAATGTAACTAATGGGGAAATGCTAATCCACGTCAAGAAAATAAATAAATGTTTTTTCAGATTCAGAATAAATCAGATGTATTTGTCATAATTTTTTTTTCCATCAGTACCAGTAATTATCATTTTCATAATTGATTTTCACATTCGTTGATATTCATCTTCATATTCATGTATTTGTCATAATCTGTTTTCCCAAATTCAAGCAGTATTTGTCATGATGATTTTTCATAAATGACATTCACGTTCATTGATACTCATGTCCATTCATATTCAAATTGATATTTCATGTTCAAGTCAGATGATGAACGCAAATTGTTACACACAAGTGTGGCAATATGCAATGTGTTAGTGTGTAAAGGTTGATCTTATAAAGAATCAAATAAAATAATAATTAGATAGTAAAGTTTGTATTTTTTTTATGTTAATCAAAACTAATAGGAATTTATTGATTAACAAAAATTAAATTTACATTTAGTAAAATACATTGAAATTCTTAATCCAATAATCACTTAAGTAAAAAGTAATTTAGAGTCATTAATCTCCTACTAACTTCATAGATTCCATTTTAACCAATTATTAATTTCAATAGTAATTTTGTTAATCAAAACTTTTAGTAGTTACAAATGTTTTTCGATCCACTAATAACCCTTTCTCTATTATGAAAATATAGAGGGAAAAAGAAAGAAAAAAAAGAGAATAGCAAGGCAAGAAGAATTGAGAGAGAAAACAAAGGAGTATATTTTATTTACCCAACTACTCAATGCTTTATATATAATCTCTATTTATAGGCCTTTACCTATTAATGTTTAACTTTAATGTTACAAATGAATAAAGAAAGACACAATAGCATAGTATGTAATCTTGAGAAACTCTTTCCAAATCATTCATTGAGAGGTTATAGGAGATAAAGAATCCTCAATATCAGGAGTTATGGACATCCACTTATATAATCATATAATATTTACAATAGAATTAATTATATTATGTCTAACACAATTATCTAAGAGACAATTTAAATCAATAATAATGTATAATGATTATATGGGGCACTTATATGTATGTTTATTCTAATTACACATTAGATAAAAATATAATTTCATGTTATTCAATTCAATAGTTCAAATGAGATTTTCTTTTATTAAAGAAAAATTACACACTCAAAATCACATTTAATAGTGCTCATTCATCAAACAGACATTCAAGTATAAGATTGAACGACTAAAATTAACATTAAATTTAACTAATAGGTAAAAAAAAATTTAATTAATAAGTTCATAACTCCTTTAGGTTTAAAGAGAATCAGTCACACATAACTTTGTAAATGGCAAAAATTAACAAACAATATATCAAAATGAAGAAGAAAATGGAAAAAAAAAGAAAAAGCTTAATCGGAGTGCTTTGGATGAAATTGACTAAGCTTTTGTGAAACTTAAGCTTTTCCATCTCATCCATAACTTCTTCCTTCTCCCCTGAATGTTCTTGAGCTACTGGAGTGGAAGAATCACAAATTAAAGAATGACAATTATGTTATTGTCGCTAGCTATTTCACTCTAGCATGTTGCAAGGACGTTGTGGCATAAATTTCAACTTTGTTTTCTTTTCAATCTTGACTTACATACAACATTTTGACACTTGATTTGAACCACCTTATACACAAAATAACTTCATTAATGCAATTTTAACTTAAGTGATCAATTCATTTTAGTGAGATGTTATCAATTCCCCTTTTCTTATTTTCAAAACTATTTTTCCTATCTTTTTTCTCAAATGTTAGTCTCATTTTTTTTTTCAAAATTACTTAAAAGACTTCAAGTTGAATATAATCCAAAACTCTCTAATGCCATAAAATATTTGAAGCCATCATCATCAGACTAATGAATATGCAAATAAAATATTTTGTATGTTCAATAATGTGTAGACAGTAACAAATCCAGGAATACATACATGAGGGGCCAAAATTGAAAATCACCTAAAATATGGGGTCTACAGCTAATTTTTTTTTCATTTTTTACAAACAAATTATTATTATTATTTTTTCAAAGCGGGTTACTAGATGCGATCATTTTTTTCAATGTGCAGAAGTCACTTAATATGCCTTAATAAGAAATAAAATCACGCTTCATATGTAGATATTATGTTTAAATGGAATCTTGATAACTAATTTATACTACTTGCTCCTCTGGTCCCTCGTGCCTTGTATAAGGTATTTCTAACATTTTTCTTGTAAATTTTAAAAAATGTTTTTAGATTGCTTTACTGTCGTGATAAAAAAATTTCAATATTTTCATTATATCCTTATTAATTTAAGAGACGAAACCTTTGTACTTTGTGTAACCTCATAATACCTTGCTCACCGTGGACGCAGAGGCAACCGCAACCTGATTAAAACGACACCGCAATGTTTATGTGGATAAAATAATGCGAGAGGGCTTTACCCGACGACACGACCACGACGACGTGAGAGAAGGCACATATTTTTATTTCTACAAAAAACATACCTCATTCAGTTTAAAAAAAATAAAATATTTTTACTGGTTTACGGCTTTTAATAAATTAGTAAATTATTTTTAAATTAATATTATCTTTTTATATTTATTTTTATTTAATAAGATTGCTTCACTTGAAGATGAATGGTTAGATAATTTATTTTAAGAATATATCTAAAAATTTTTATTAATTAGACATTGAAAAAGTGAAAATTATTGTATATTCTTAAAAATCTAGCTTAATTTTTTTTTTTATATTTTAGAATGGAACTAGAAATAAAATGAGAATGTGAGATGGAGCTAGAAATAAAATGAGAATGCGAGATAAATTTTAGGAAGAATGAAAGTTACTCCTTTCATTTAAAAATATAAAATATTTTTTGAGGAGTTGAATGTTTAAAAATATAAGATATTTTTAATTTTTTAAGGTGTAATCATTGTCTTTATTTTAAAAGTATCCCTATTAAAAATAACTTTATATTTATTATAAGATGTTTAATAAGGGCAAATACAGAAAAATAGGGTTAATTTAAAAGTAGGTAATTATTTTATTGAAATGTGAAATTTTGTTAAAATATTTTATATTTTTAAATAAAAAATAAGTCCAAAACTTGTACTTAATGATAGTTAAGTTCCCAGCAAAATTATTGAAAAAATAAATTAAAAATATCAATACAAATAAATGTAAAATTTAAAAATTTTAACTACAAATAAGTATTTAAATATTAAATATAATTCTTAAATTGTAATATGAATTATTATTTGTAATTATTTGAATTAAAATTTATAACTTATTTTTTTAAAAAATTTATTGAAAAATTAACTATCATTAATGAAATGTTTTGAGTGCTAACTGTAATTCTCTCTAAATCTTATCATGCAAATTCTGAAATTTCGTGCCACCTCTCTATCGAGTACCGACTGATTGACTTGCCATTCAAGTCTATTTTCGTCAATTGCATATTAATTGAGGTCAACAATGCGAATGCCTGTCACTCGCCTGTCATCGCGTGAGACGTAACCAGTAAGGTCTCCGCCATCGATTCAGTGTTCAGTTTCGCCACCTTGGCGGAAAGGTCAACCCAGAACTTTCGCATGGCCATATATTTAGAAAATAAAGAAGAAAAATCTTCACATTTTTTTCACTGTTTTGTGTTTTAGCCTTTAGCTAATGCTTAAAAATCTTTCCTTTATAATGCATTTTCCTTTAGAAGACTTTATTTTTTGGATTACTCTCAATTCAACCAATATTCATTCCTGTCATTCCATTATTTACATCCCCATGTTTTCTTGAGAATCGCCCACTTTGATAGAAAAGGATGCCTTCGAATTCGAATTTGTGCTCTAACCGCGATCTGATTCTCAGTATTTTGGCGCTATTTTCTTTTTCATTTGGTGTCTGCCGTGCGACTGATCAGCTGGTAACTGACGACAGCTTCACTGTTTCCAGCTTCAGTTACCCAGAGACTACGCTCAGGCCCTCTGATTTGCGATATATCAGAGGTGAGTGGGCCCGTTGGTGGTGACTCTTCTGTTCATATGCTTAATTTCTCCGTTCTTATTGTTCACGGCCCGCTGCCAGGTGTAAAGTCTAATGCGTTGTCGTCAAGTTCTAGAGAAAATTGGTGATTTTATGTGATGACGGTTGGCATTTCTGGGTTCTTTTAAGCTCTTCCCCTTCAAGTTTTCTTTTTCTTTCAGTATTATTTAATATTCCCCTCTTGTATTATGCAATGTTTCTGTGTTTCTCCGTGATATGGCTTGTATCAGAATTATAAGTGCCAACAATCTAGTTAGTGGTATTGATTATCTCAGTCTTCTGTCTTCTATGGAACAGGATATTCTAGCTCGATTTACTTTCAATTCACACGATGGTTTGCATGTGTAGATTGTCATTCGTTGCTCTACAAATTTCAGAAAATTTAAGTGTGCCTTTTTTTTTTTTTGGGTTTCTCTGTGTAGTGAGAATTTAACTATTGGATGTCGTGGAATTTAAGATTTATATGCAGCTGATATCTATCAAAACCCAAATCAGCAAGAATTGCATGATATTTGGTTATACTTTGTATGCTTTTGCTAATTTTTCAATTGGAGAGATGGGAAATATTTGCTCAGGAGGCATAACTTTTTTCTCTGCTTTAGGAAATTTAATTTGCTGGTTATTAGATCTGTTATATTGGGGAAATGAAAGAAAGAAAAAGAGGTTAACTGCTGTATTGGACTTACACATAATCTTACATGTCTATTGTGGTTTTTTTTCTCTCTCATTCCAGTTGATTTGCCGACATGGTTTTCTGCAGTGTCTATAGCATTGAACTCAGATGTAGACCTTGTAAGTATATTTATTATTCTTAATAGATAGGATTACCTAGGAATACTGGCATCACCTGGGAGCAACTATGCTCCTTCTGATAATTCTTTTAATGAAATTCTGTTTCTTCAGTTTTGTTTGTTTGTTTGTTTATATTGCTTGGTATTGCATGTGGTGAAAATGTAAATCATATAGTTGTCTGAGAGAAGAATAAATATCCTAAACGAATTTCATTTAAATTTTCTTTTATCTATTAAACTTGTATGTGTGTGTTAAATTTTATTTTCCTGTGTTACAGAAAATATGCCTTGAGAAGTGAGAACCCAATTTCTTCTCGACACATTTGTTCTGTGCTTTGTTTTCAGGATGTCAAAAAAGTTGAAAAGGTTCCACAAAGCATGCTGCCAGTAGTATGCTTTAGAGATGGCAGTCCTCCACTGCCAGACACCTCAAATATTTCCCTGAAAGAGTCAGCCATCTCAGGTAGACTTTTAGCTGGTTCAACTCAGTATAACTAAACTGTTCGAAGTCTGAGCATGGATATTATACCCTAAAGTTCCCTGTTGGGAGATAATTATAAGTTTAGCTTTGTTGTTTCTTTTAGAAGTTGTCTTTAGGATACCCTATATCTTTCAATATGCTAGAACCATTGGAACCCCAATAAGTTCTTATCACTCATTAAATTAGAATTTAGGATCAAGACTTTTGGATTATTCTAGTTTGCTTAGCTATTATTTATTAGTTAGCATTTAGTTTAATCCTCTCCATTACTTTACTGTTTTACTTGCTTTACTATGATGGTTTCTTTTGCCTATCATAATCACTTTGTTGGCACTTGTTCACTAGTTCTCTGTTTATTTTTCTATCTGCTTGTTTTTGAAAGGAAAAGCAAATGAATATATCAATTTATATAACAAATTATAATTATAACAAGTTGCAGTATTCACAAACTATGGAACAGTATGACTCATTCCTCAAATTCTGTGCAACTCATGAAGAAACATGTCTAGTTTTCCAGAAAAATCTTTGGCTGATATGCCCTTTCTGTTCTCTTTTTTCTTTAGGAATGAATAATCTTTATGGGGGGCAGTGTTTTCTAATGCAGAAACATATTACTTTGACATTGACAAACGAGCAGGTATTCTTTGAGGTCCTTAATAGTTCTTTCCCTTTTGCTGCAAGAATTTTATTTGCGCAAGTTTATCTAGTATCTTGTAGCTTAGTTTCTCTTTTCTTAACATGGTTGTATTGACCTGATAGTATCTGCCATGAGAATAAAATGTCCATATTATCAGTGGGAAGCACTAATGCATAAGTTATAAATTTTTTTAACAATATTATAGATAGAAAACATTAAAAGATTATTGTTCAGATATCTCCAGGTGTTTGGTACATTGGTCTTTTCAATGGCATTGGACCTGCTAGGACACAGTCAAAGATGGTATGTACCATTATCCTTAAATTTCAATTTATAACTTGTGATGTAATTTATTATGGCCTTCCCGGCTTCCCCTACAATAATATCTATAGGTCTTGCTGATTAGTGCCCTGAAGAAGGTAATTAGGGTCTCCTAGATACATAATTCATTCGATGTTTAGCAAATTAATGATATTCACATTAAAATCATTAAATATAATTTAACATTTAAAATTACTGATTTTTTTTTTTAAAAAAAAAAGTCAGTGCAGTGATTACATGCTCATAGCTGCAATTCTCTCCTAGCTAGTGCCATAAGAGAACTGGTTTTTAATTCTTTCCATATTATACTGAGACAGCAGCCTAATTGTTTCATTTCGTGGATAAGATTAAACATGACAGTCTCATTTATGCTGCTAGATTGAATACAACCTTCATTACTACTTCCCTGTCTTCATTTCCCCTGCCCCTCCTCTATAATTTTCAAGCCATCTTCCTCATGCTATTGCTCTTACCAAAGGCTCCTACAACATGCTGATGAATGGCAGGTACTTGCTTGTCCTTGCAGATTATCCGAGGTCCAACTTACTCCTTTAGTGCCAATATGAGTGTCAAAGCATGTACTAATACAATGATGATGGGGGAGTTCTGCAACAGTACAGTCTATCCTCTCTCATGCACAGGGCCTGATGTCTTTTCTGCTTCTAACAGTGCGGTTGTCAAGCCAATGGTAAAAAATGTAATGACCTGCAGAAATAATTTTGAAACTTTATGTGTTCAGGAAGGTGGAGCAAAAGTATACTTCTTGGATATAATGAATATGGTAGAAGAGTTAAGCATTATGGCCATAAATGTCAGTTTCAATTCCACTGCATCAACTAATGGTGCAAATGACATTAATGTGATGTGTTTTGTTCGCCATGGAGCAATGCCTTCAGCAACTTTGCATGATTATTCCAGTAATATATATAAAGCTCCCCTGACCATACAATCACCACTGATTGGTCGTTGGTACATTATTATATTACCACTTAATCTTACAAGAAAAATTGGAGACGCTGCAGATAGTGATGTAAGAATCTGCTATTCAATGGAATCACGATTGTCTGAATGCCCGTTTGGAAGAGCTGGAGCAAATTGCACAATGGCAAGCTACAAACTTCAGGTGCGATTGTTTGCTAAACATTCATCTGCCTCCTCCTTTTGTGCTGTTATCTTATGTACTTATCTCCCCTTCAATTTTAAGAGTATGATAATACAATCCAGTGTGTGTCTGTGATATTTGGTGGATTATGGATTTTGACCGTTAAAACTGACAAGGTTAAATGAAGATGTGATTTCTTGCACTCTTACCATGATGATTATAATATAATAAACTTAAGGAAATATATATTATACAATTAACTTGACATCTCTGGAAATGTGTTCAATTGGATGTAGGATAAAGGGGAAAAAACCCGCCATATCTCAGAGCAGGTGTGGCAGTTGGCATGCGCCTATCTCCTTTACGTCCTCCTCTCAACTCCTTTCCTTGAATAAACATAGCCCTTTTGAGATCTTTGGCATTTTGATCTTTTCATGCCCTTTGTTAAAATATAACATTTTCTTTTGGTACATAGCAGAGTGGAGGTTTACAACATGCCCAAGACTACTACACAGGACAAAGCCAATGTTTTTTATTAACACGTTCATATCATGCCTATAGAAATCAAGCTATTGGAATGAAAATTTTCAATTAGGAAGAGAAATTAATATGCAAAAAGAAGAATAATTTTAAAGCAATTTTTGCCTAGTTTATTGTCATGGATTTAGGTTTAAGGAGACCTTGTCAACAACAAATTCTTTGTCTTGATGCTTTAAGAATTTTACCCGCAGAAATTATTCACAAGATAAAAATGGTTGTTTGCAGACAGTTCTAAGCAGAGGTATAAGCCCCTTTGAATCATATTATTTACCAATTGGTGAAGTCTCCTCTGATTCAGCCAAGTTTCCTCTTGAACCACTTTTAAGCAGCTCATCCAATGGTGGAGAACCTGACAGCATATGGACTTACTTTACTATGGAAATTCCTCATGGCGCAGCTGGAGGGAATATCCATGTACACCTAACCTCAAATGTGAAGATCAGTTATGAAGTATATGCTAGATTTGGTGGATTACCATCTATTGATAGCTGGGACTATTATTATGCAAACAAGTCAAGGAGGAGTGACCCGTCTATGTTTTTCATGCTATATGATTCAAGAGAAGACAAAGTTGATTTTTATATTATTTATGCTAGAGAAGGGACTTGGGGATTTGGTCTACGACATCTCAATATCAACAGTGATTCTTCAAAGGGACAGACCTTCATGTCCCTTTCACTTGAACGATGCCCAAATCAATGCTCCTCTCATGGAAGCTGTAAATTTTCATTTGATGCTAGTGGATTGACATCATACAGGTTTAAATGATGGCTTTGCTCATCCTTATTACTGTTTCTTCTTTTCTAATCAGTTTGAAATTTTAGTTCTTTCTTTTACCTGCAAGACATGACAAATTTCTTGGCTGTGAATGAGAAGTTATTTTTTAATAAAATTAGATGTTAACTTTTGGAACAGATTTCTTGTCTTTTTTTAGCACGTATCTCAAGAAATTTTCATAATTAAGATGTTTGTTTCTTTTAACTCCAGCTTTTGCTCCTGTGACCGAGACCATGGAGGCTTTGACTGTGGCATTGAACTAGTATCGCATAAAGGTGATTGTTCATTTTGGACATAGATAAAGATTGTGCTTTTCTTTCAACTATCTTGGTTCAACCCTTTTTCTTATCTGCTTACCCCCTCCTTTTCTCTATCATGCTATATTATTTTTATCTGATTTCCTGGTTTGATATTCAACTCAGAATATGAGTTTTTAATGATGAAGCATCAAGCTGAAAGGCCAAATTGTATATCTTACAAATACTTATAAGTTTCTTCTCCTTCTCCTTCTTTAATTTGTCATTACTTGTAAGCTTCAGGTTAACAGCAATTTGCACGCACATAGTATTGAGTTTATGATAAATGTGGCCTTGTTGGTTGTTGCTTATGATTACTGATAGGCGCTCAGAATAACTAAAATAAGAATAACTCTATTAGGATGATATAAAACAAGAATCTCGTTCTATATTTCTCTTAATAGCCACGCTCAGAAGAATCTCCAAAGGGTTTAAAAGACTATTTTATTGATAAACTGATATGATAGCTTCTAAGTTGCTAGTCATATTTATAATGCTAAATACAATCTAAAATAATGGATAAAATCTAGATAACTAGATAACTAAATAATATCTCCTATAATCTAAAATAACTAAATAACTAAATAATATCTCCTATAATCTAAAATACTGAATAAAATCTAAATAGATAAACTACTAGATCTAAATAAAATCTAAAGAATAAAATCTGACTAAATAAAATACTAAATCTAAAGAAATATCAAATACTGAGCAAAATAAACAATGAAATCAATCTGAATTTATCTTTTGACGCTTTCTTCTTGGATAAGTCTTCATGAGAATATTATCTGGAATCTTATCAATTACAATTCCATTAAAGTTCATCATGTAATATATCTAGTTCTCGTTGGTTGTTTTGTTTGTACCTAAGTGACATATGTTTGTTTAGTTTACTACACAAATGCTAAAAAGCTATGATTAAAAAATTTTATGCCCAATAGCAGCGTACTTATTTTAATTATAGCCATATTATAATTTGAGTTGTTTTATGCCCCAGGTTGTTTAACATCTAAACATAAAAGTTAATAAAAGTAATTGAGGTTTGTCACTTATAATGAATAACTTGTATGTTATATTTATGCCAAAAGGAAGTGACTCGTGTACTAAATTTTATTATTAGTAATAATCTAATAAATAATTTAAATTACAATTTTAATAATCATTAAGTATTAATAAGTTTTAAAAATTCAAATTACGTATTAAAATTGTCATATTCCTTTGTTTTATATTATTGTTGAATGTCAATCCAAATATAAAATTTCTAACACACATCATCTATATCTATATATTTAATAATTTTATCGGAAGTAGCACTGTTCACAAATCTTTAACAGTGCGGCTTTCTATATTTGCATGAAGCCTCATCATCATCTTGTTTTAATTGTGATATATAATGATGGAGGCCAAATATGCCTTACCCTTGTTCTGCTCTTCAATTTGTCAAACACAGCTTTTCTTTGAATAAGAAAATTTTGAATCTTTTCTCCTATTATCCACTCACTGACAAATTTTGCAGGACATATAAGGCAATCAATTTTTCTCATTGTATCAAATGCCGCAGCCATACTTCCTGCGTTTTGGGCCCTTCGGCAGAAGGTGGTTCTTTCCCTTAACTTCAGTTTCTGGCTTTTACTTTTAGATTGGTTTGGCGAGCAGTTTGGAATGTCGTTTAAATGATGAAGACTACGTTTGATAAAATCAAGAAATACATTAGCACTATTCTCTTCTACTATGCACCTGCTTGTGGGAATTAATTGTCTAATAGTCACTATAAAAATTATATAAATTATATGAGCATTGCAGCTAAACTTCCTAGAAAATTACAATTTACTTTTTTATATTGTGAATTGAAATATATAACTCATAAGTTCATCTATGCAGGCATGGGCAGAGTGGATTATATATACAGCCAGTGGAATTTCAAGTGGATTGTATCATGCTTGTGATGTTGGCACCTGGTGTGCATTGAACTATAATGCCTTACAGGTTAAATATGTGCTTCCACTATTACCTCTTTCTCTTCTTTGAAAAATAGAAAAATCTGTAACTGTCTTGAAATTATTTAACCATGAAAGGAATGAGAAGATGCATGTCACTGGTCTAGCTATTATAGAAGCTCTAATGAACCCCAGTTAACTGAGATGGATAAGTTGCACCTTATACGGTGTCAAATCATAGCATGAAGACATCCTCAGAAGAGAAGCCAAGAACTGAAGACTATAGATAATGAGATAGAATCTACCACACGCACATGCACATACACCCAATTCACTCATGTTTCTAGAATGGTTCTCTTTGCTGATGTGTACCTCAAGATATTACAAGGTCCTTACAATTTACATGACAATGTTTCAGTTCATGGACTTCTGGCTCTCTTTTATGGCTGTGGTTAGCACATTTGTGTACCTTGCTACCATTAGTGAGGGATTTAAGAGGGCTATCCATACTGCTGTGGCTATCCTTACAGCTCTCATGGCTGTTACCAAGGCAACCAGGTACATTGAACTAGTAGATAACGTGTACACATACATACATATATACACGTGTGTGTGTATGTAGGGATAGAAAGAAAGAGAGAAGTGTTGAAGTATTGATTGCCAGTTTTTTTGGCCAGAGTAGTAATTGCTATTTATTTGCGCTGAGATGCAGATCTTCCAATATTATTCTTGTGATAGTAATTGGGACTCTTGGCCTACTTATTGGATGGTTGATAGAGCTCTCAGCAAAGTATAGGTCTCTTTCCTTCTCATTTGGAGTCCCACCAGACTTCCGTTGCTGGTGAGTTCTCTCTACTTGGATAATAGATTGTGTAAGGACATTATGTTGAATAATAGACACATCATTGTATGGAAAGTACGAAATTCATGTGGTAGCCTATAAGCAATTTCATTATTTTTCAACAACTCGTATTGTGCTTGGATAGATTGCTCGTTTGAAGTTAGCCATAATTATGCCAGAGAATTATCATTGACAACCGAGATGCCAACTTCTTTTATACTATAGGACCAAACAGACGACGGATTGAGGTTATACATTCTAAAATTTAAACTAGATGACCTACTTTGACGTTAATTAGTCTCTATTTATCATTCTCCCGATGTTTTCCGGCCTTTTGTAAGTTTTGGCTGTTGTATTGGAACATGTTGCTCAATTCTGTTCAGGAGCTAATCTCATAGCCATTTTAGTACTGAAAGTTGAAGAGGTGATGATGATACCATTAAATTACCTGGGGAACGAAGGTAGGTATGGGAATTGAAGATGAATTTATTCAATAGGTTCCTCAATGACTCTCTCACATTTCATCTAGGCTAAAAACCATGCTAGGATATGGCCTGATCACAATTTTGTGCTGTTTACCTCAAACTGTGCTTCATTGTGCTGAAATTTTTCTGCATTCTGCAGCTTGGAAGCTGTAAAGCAATGGCTCTATAATCTTGTCAAGACACTTCTGAGACGGTTCCGATGGATTTTTGTGCTCGCGGGTTTTGCAGCATTGGGCATGGCATCAACAAGCTGGAAACTTGAAACCAGTGAAACCTACTGGTTTTGGCACAGGTAATACTGTACCACCATTCTTTTCATCCACTTGTCTCCTTTCTCTCTCTATCTCATGCTTGCTCTTACGAACTGTTTTCACAGCTGGTGGCATATTGCAATATATACTTCTTCCTTCTTCTTCCTTTGTTCAAAAGCAAATATTGTTGATAGTGATGAGAACCAGCATCCGCCTTCGGGTGGAAGCTATGCGCTGACTCGCATGGATTCCTTTCCAAGGGGTGTTTAGGAGAATTTCTATGCAAGATCTGAGTGTAAATAGATAGGGTTGGGATTTTGCAGGGTTTTAATCATGTGGTATGGTGAGCTCGTGTGTAGGTAACATTCAAATATGAGACAGTGAAGTCAAATATATAGCTGGCTGGTTGCTGACTTATTACATTAAATTGGTTGGAAATAGAAGAAATAATAGCTTTTTTTTTTATAGCAATTTGATTTGATTTCTCGGAGAATATTATAGGAATAAACCACAAACTTGTTGGAAGTTCAAATTCTTCGAGATTTTGTGACAAGTTTGTATATATAGATTTAAAAGAAAATATTTTTTTACATTTTCTCATTTCTAGCAAAGAATCATTTAATATTGGTATTATTGACTAATGAATATTTAAGCTAGATCACATTTTAATTAGAAGTTGGAAGAAATTTTTCATGATGCTGTTTCTCATCCCTAGTATTAGATATTTTATGTTTACATAGATAAAGTGATAAATCTAAATTAAAACTCTGATTCTACTTCAGATGACCTGGAGGCAAAATAGTAAGTGACAAAAAAGATATAAACGTTAAAATGCAAAAATATTCAGAAATTTTTCTTTTGGAGTGTTTGGTGTCTTTAAGCTAACAACACAATAATAGGGTTTAGTGGCAATTTTATCCTTAAATTTTTTCTTGATAAATAATTTTATTTATGTACTGATTAGTAGGGCAATTTTATTCCTGAATTATTTTTTCAAGAAACAAAAAACCTTTTTTATAGGTTGTCTATCACTCCTCAAAAAAATAATTTATAAAAAAAATTACCTCACTCATTAGTATATGGATAAAATTGCTCTTTAAGAAAAAGTTTAAAGTTACAAATGCATCTTAATCCTACAATAATGTATGAGTATTCATTAATTTTATGAAAAAGTTAACATACCTTGATGAGTTAGCTTTTATTCTTAGAGTAGGGTAAATGCATAACCATTGTTAACTTTAAGATTACTATTAATGTCTAAAAATCATTCTTTTGATTGTTAACTTGTTTTCACGATGCTTGTTATTTCCATGTCAAGCGAGTAGTAAGTCTCTCCCTTCAACTCAGCTTCCCGTTATGTTTTTTTCTTTTTATTCTTTATATGTGAATAAGAAAACATTAAAATTCTTATTCTCTCTCACTAAAAAAAAAATTCTTTTTTTCTCACTTTTCTTGGGTTAAATCAAGGATAAAAGAGTAAATTGATCTCTAAATTATAAGTTTGGAACATCAGAGATTCTAAACTTATTTTTTATGTAACATTTCTCTTTAACTTTTGAAAATGGTGGAGTTAAGCTTTTATTATTAACAAAAGTTAATTTTGACCGTTATTTAATTATAAAATGACAAAAAAGGACAAATAATTTTTTTTGGTCTTTTTCTATAATTTTTAGCCATTTTATATAGTTTTTGAGGTCTTTTTCTCTTATTTTTTTGATCAATGAGCAATAAAAATTAACTTTTGTTAACAGTAGTGATCAGATTGTACCGTTTTTAAAAATTAAAGAGAACATTACATAAAAAAATAAATTTAAAGCCTCTAACACTCTTGAAATCTATAGTTTAATAGTTAATTTTCTCTTTCACCCTTTAATCAATCTAAGGAATACTGAAAATTCTCCTCTACCAAATCCTAACTTATGAGTTTAAACAATTTTACGAGTCCACTTCAAAATGATTGACAAGTGATCCGTCATGGTTCACATGTGAAAATAGTGAGATAGGGTTTTGAAATTACAAGTTAATTTTTTTTACAAGTACATAAGCCAATTAATGACTTTTAATTGTTGCCACTAAAAGTAAATATTTAATGGCAACTTTTTTTGTCACTGTTAAAAATAATTTTCTTGTAATGTAAGTAAAAATAAAGATAGGGACAATGACACGTAAATCCTAAATGAATCATTTTATTCAAGTAAAGTCTCAACAAATTTTAAAACATAAAGTAAGTCTTTTAGATTCTTGACTAGTATTTTTATATAATACAATTTGTTTCTAATTTTAAAATTGAGAAAATGAGCTTCTAGAGTTTGAAATATGGGTTGGATTATATGAGTTGGCCTGAATAACTTATTTATAAGGGTTGTATTGAGTTGGAAAAACATTAACCCATATGAAAATGGGTCTTTTTTTGGTTCGAATTAGATAATCTATGATGTAAATCAAATGAATTGACCTTAATGAGTTAAGATTGACTTATTTAATCTATATTATTTTTTAAAAAATAAAACAAATGAAGGGAGTTTTAGCACCAAAATCTCACAAGTCCCAAGACAAGTAGATTGTGAAATGAATTATAATGAAATTTATTAATCTCATATGTTTACGATGTAATTTTTTTAAATTGCATGAAATCTCATATGAAAACTTTTCATTTAGTGAAATTTTTTAAAACAAATTCATGAAAGTGAATAAATAAATGGGTTGATAAGTTATCTTATTTAACCATCCAACTAACAAGAGTTGGGTTAGGTCAAATTTTGTCAACCATACAAAACTGGGTCAAACTCAACCCAATCCATATGGGTCAGCTCATATGGTTTTCATCTGAGTTTACCCATATTTTCAATTCTATAAGTTAAAAATTCAACAAGATCAATTACAAAATTAGAATATAGTTACAAATTTCAAGAAGTGTTCAAATAATGACATATTAATATTAAAGTTTAATCATTTAAGATTTGTGTTTCCCATGAAAATTGGGAAAGCAAGTTACAAAGTTAAGATGACAAAATTATAAATTTGAGGGATAAAGTTGTCAATTTTTAGAAGTGTTTAAATAATACTTCCTTCATTCAAAAATGTAAGGCATTTTTAACCGAATCTCACTCTCCAATAAAGTAATTACTTACTTTTAAACTAACCTTATTTTTTTATATTTACTCCTATTAAATACTCTATAATAAATATAAAGTTATTATCAATAAGGGTATTTTTAAAAAAAAAGACAATGATTATATCTCAAAAGATTAAAAATACTTTATATTTTTAACATTTAACTCTTTAAAAAATTACAAATTTAATAAGATAAAATTATAAATTCAGGAGACAAATTACAAATTTTGATCAAATGATGACATGTTATCTTTTAAATTTAATTAGTAATATCTATCTTCTTTATTAATACAAATTCACATCCCAAATTTGATATTTTTGTTATTTTGCATCTGTCTTCCAATTTTGAAATTTCATCTTGTTAAATTTGCAACTTGTTTTCTCAATTTTATTAAAAAATGTAAATTTTAATGATTAAATTTAAAAAGTATATTTTTAATTCTCTAATTTTATACAAATTTTTAATTTAATCTTTTAATTTTATAAAGTATATTTTTAATCCTTTAACCTAAATATTATTAGTTTCAAATGATTATTTTTTGCATCAATAATCATTGTTATTTTAAAAAAAATTAAACTTGATATATCAATATTTGTAAATGTTTTGTCAACATTTAAAAATTCAATGTAAAAATTTATTAGGATAAAACTAATGGTATTGGAATTAAAGCATTTAAAAGACACTTTATAAATTTAAGAGACTAAAATGAAATGTTGTGTAAAGTTAAAGAAATAAATGTATATTTTAGCCTAATCAATAAGTGTTTTTTTTTAACTGAAAGCTCTGTATATTGTCTTGACCTTCTCTCTTTACATAAGCATACTTTTGCTAAAAAATTATTCTTCAATTTTTGTAAGGCAAGGGTTATGTATAGTTTAGTTAGATTAGCAAACTTATTAGTTGACATATAATGAGTTGCTAATTTTCCTTTTGCACTTGTTAATGCATCATGCTGGAGTTGTTAGGATTTGTAAAAAGAAGTTCATTGAGTTCTCCCAATTTAGTGACAGCTATCACTCCTTCTCCCTTACAAAGTGTGACACAAGGTTTAGAAGACGAGGGAGAACAACTCCGAAACATGATGCAATGCTGCAATTCTTTGGAAGTGGCAAGCTCAAGAAAAGCCAAAAATAAATTACTATTATTACAACATTAACAATGTCAATGTTGTCATAACTTTTGTCATGTTTATAATGCTGTTTGTGTGTGTGTGTGTATAACCAAGTCATTGAATGGGAACGAATAACTCATTTATGACTTATTTGCAACTGTATTTAATAGGAAAAAAAACAAGCTCTAGATATTGACAAGTGTAGGTAGGGGTATAAACAACTCTTGTAGGGAAATGAATAACTTGTGTTGGGAAATTAACAACTCTTGTATAGGCAATGAACAACTCATTTTACCATAATAAGTTAAGCAGATAAAATCAAGTGAATATATGAGCACAAACAATTCATGTAAGGAAATGAATGTAAAATCTTTAGGTTAGACAAGTAAAGTTATCATTGCTAATTCTCCTTAAGTTCCAAACGTCATGGTAATTACCAATTTGTCAAATTTTACAAATGAGATCCCCAAGTTTTTAATATTTTTAAAATATCCTAAAATTTTTTTACAAGTGAAAAATTAGAGTTTAATTAACATGCGAAAGCATTGGATCTTAAAAAGAATTAAGGCATTTGCTTAAAAATTGAAAAACAATGAAACAATGTAGAAACAGGGGTATATGCTACTGCTTATCATGTAATGTTCGCCTTGACATTACCAGGACAGCACTCACACATCATTGTGATAACTTAGATAAAATAAAATCCTCTGAAGAAGTTATCACAACTCAAGGGTTTAAAGATAATTAGTTTAAAAACATTGAGATTCCAAAAAAACCCTTTTTAAAATACTGTTTGAGCTCAAACCATGGTTAAAAATTGATTAGAAGCAAATACGGAAGTATGAAAATCAATTCACTTTGAAATAGACTAAAACAAGTCATTTTGCCCTTATCTGGTTTGTTCATCGCGGCGGATGGCACAGACGGACAAATCCCTCGTAAGCCTCTTGCTTTGCGACGTAACAATCATGCTCCGCAATGCGCACCTGCTGTCATGATAGTAGATTGCAGTCATGGCTTTTCTCCAAACTTCCAGAGCACGTCGTTTTGACATCCGACATCTGATTTGAGCGGTTCAAGCATCCACACGAAGCTCTTTGAGCCCTCTAGCTAATGGCACCAATTTCACACTCAAACAATCATCCATTTAAAAGATAAACACTCGAATCCAAAATGATTTGTTTTCACAACAAAACATATACTATGTGTCTAACTCACAATACACAATGCCATTAGCCCTG